TTTGATGGTTATATATTCCAATCAAATTATACAACAGTTGTTCAATTTTCGTGTTATTATTACTCTGAAATAGGAGACACTTGAAAGCTTGTTACCAGGGAACAGAATAGCATATTTGTAGATTATTTGACATTGTTTCTAGGTAAATATATTCTGGAATTTAGAATTTTAGAATAGTAAGGCACTGTAAGCATTATCTACTCTAACTCCCTCCTATGCAGGTAAGAAAACTGAAGCCTATAATTCAGTTACTTGCCCAAAACACAATTTCACCTTATCAATTTAAAGAGTTCACTTTGAATTATATATATTACTTTTTATTCTCACTATAGTAGTAATATATTTTGTAGTAGAAAATAAAATTTGGAAAAGTAAGGGGGAAGGGACTCCCTGCAATGAGGCACAAGGAAACTTTTTGGGTGATAGAAATATTCTACATCTTGATTGTGGTGATGGTTACATAATTGTATGCATTTGTTAAAACTTATCAATCTATACGCTTTAAAAGACTGAACTTTATTATGTATATATTATACCACAATCCTAATCTCTTTTTTTTTTTTTTTTTGGTAATTTAGGTAACAGTTAGTGGAGCAAATTTATTTTCCATGTAGCAGTTCATATAATTTTATTTCATAAAATGATTACAGTCCCTATAATGTAACAGCTTTCTTCCCACTTCCTCCCTTTGGTTACCTTTTCCCTGTGTCCTGCTTTCCTATTCATTCCTGTCCTCTGAGCTATCTCTCTGTACAAACACTGCCCTTCTGATTTCCAATGACTGATTATTCTAAGAAGTGTACCTGTCTATTGTTTGTCTGGGAGCCACAGGAGTGAGTTCAATTCCAGGCCTGAAGGGTGACTAGGAGCCATAGTCTTGGGGGTTTCACCAGTCTTTATCAGACCAGTAATCTGTCTGTTTGTTTGTTAATGATTTTGAGTTTTGTTCCACATTTTTCTCCCATTCTATCTAGGATCTCCTACTTTGATCCTTTCCAAGTGGTTGACAGTGGTAGCCAGGCTTCATCTAGCTGCATTTTACTTGGTCCACTAGTCCCATGGACTAATTGTTTCCATGCTTCTTTGGTTTTCTTCATTCTTCTTTGCTCTAGACAAGAGAGACCAGTTATTGCATCTAGATGGCCATTTGCACGCTTGTAAGACCTCAGTTGCTACTCACCAAAGTAGGATGTAGAACAATGATTTTGTGTAATATTTTATGCCAATTGAGCTTGATGTTCTCTGCAACCATGGTCCTGAGCCCACAGGTCCAACAACTCATTCCTTCAGGGTATTTGGCTGTGGCTAAGAAGTTATGACAACTTGCCTCCTGCTAGTTCTATTTATATGGACATTCTTAAAACACACAAATATGTATACAGAAATATTGTCTACCAAACTTATATGTGGTCATGGGTATAATCCCTTTTGCCTAGACATACCTGATCATTCAGCCTGTCTACCTGTGTATTTACTCGTAGATTAATGTTTGTAACTACCAGTAATACAGTATTATGTATGGGAAAGTGTTTATCTTTGTTGTTTATACCTCTTGTGCACCTCTCTCTGTATTCCTTTTACTTGATGTTACTGTGTGTTGATCACTCACTTTTGGTATATTGCCTTTGCCTTCACCCAAATCATTCTTTGTCTTTTACCTACCTAGCAGTTTTCTCTCTACTCCCTTCCCATCCCTGGTAACCAACAAAGAAAGTTTCCTTCCTTATGTAAATCTTCCCTTGCTATTTTACAGTGGTGAACTAATATTTATCCTCCTGTGATTGACTTATTTCACACAGCATAATGTCTTTCAAATTGATCCACATTATGAGGTGTTTTGCAGATTCTATATTATTCTTTAGTGTTGCATAGTATTCCATTATGTACCATAGTTGGGTTATCCATTCCTCTGTTGATGGGCACTTAGGTTATTTCCATCTCTTTGCCATTGTGAATAGTGCTGCAGTAAACATGGGTGTGCATATATCTATTCATTTCCTGCCTCTCACTTCTTTAAGATACATATTTAGTAATGGGATTGTTGGATCAAATAATATTTCTGTTTCTAACATTATAAGAAATCACCATACCAATTTCCATGGGAGCTCTGGGGGCATAGTGCCTAAGGCATTTAACTTCTAGCCAGAAGGCTGGCGGTTCAAACCCAGCAGCCATTTCTCAGAAGGATGGTTGGACAATCTACTTCTGTAGTGATATTGCCTCGGAAACCCAAGGAGGGGTCGCTATGAGTCGGATCCAACTAGATAGCAGTGAGTTTTAGTTTTTATACCAATTTCCACAGTGGTTGTATCATTTTACAGTGCCACCAGCAATCTCTCCACATCCTCACCAGCATTTGGTAATTTCTGTCTTGTTGAACTTTGCTATTAGTGCTGGTACCTCGTTGTTTTGGTTTGCATCTCTCTAATGACTAATGATTCTGAAGATTTCTTCTTGTGTTTGTTGGCAGCCTGAATATTTTCTTTGGTGAAGTGTCTGTTCATGTCTTCTGCCCATTTTTTAATTGTATTGTCTTTTTGATGTTGGGGTGTTGGAGTTTTCTATAAACTTTAGAGGTAAGTCCCTTGTCAGATATGTCGTTGCTAAATATTTTTTTCCCAATGGAAAAAAATGATGATGGTTCTGTTTTGGAGATGTCTTTTGATGTCCATAAGAATTTAATTTTTAGAAGGTCCCAACCATCTAGCTTGTCTCCTGCTGTTTGTACATTTTGGGTTATGCTTGATAGTCTATTTATGCCATAAATTAGGGCCCCTAAGTTTTCCCCTGTTTTTTCCTTAATGGGCTTTATATTTTTTAGGTCTCACATTTAAGTCTATGATCCATCTGGAGTTAGTTTTTGTGAATGGTGTGAAGTATAGATCTTGTTTCATTTTTCTGAAAGTGGATATCCAGTTTTGACAGCACCTTTTGTTCAAGACACTATGTCTTCTCCATTTAATGGATTTCATCCCTTTGTCAAAGGTCAGCCAACCATATGTGGATAGATCTATTTCTGCATTCTCAGTTCTGTTCCATTGGTCTGTGTGGGTGGTGGTACCAATAACAGCTTGTTTTGACTACTGTGTCTATATGGTAGGTTTTGAGAACTGGGAGTGGGAGACCTTCTACTTTGTTCTTCTTCATTAGTGCTTTGCTTATCTGAGGGTTCTTTCTTTTTTATATAAAATTAGTGATTGGTTTTTCTATGTCCTGAAAGAATATTGATGGAATCTAGATCAGCATTGCATTGAATCTATAGATTGCTTTGGATATCATTGACATTTTCACACTGTTCAGTCTTACTATCCATGAGCATGGTATGTTCTTCCATTTATGGAGATCTCTTGGTTTCTTGAAGTAGTACTTTGTAATTTTCTTTGCCTTTGTCTTCACCCAAAGGTCTGTATAGGTCTTTTGTGTCCCTGATAAGATTTATTCCCATGTATTTTATCTTTTTGGTAGTTATTGTATGGTATTTATGTCCTTGTTTCTTTTTCAGAGGCTTCTTTGCTGGTGTAGAGGAATCCATCTGATTTTTGTACATTGATCTTACATCCTTGGCACTGTGCTAAATCTTTCAATTAGCTCCAGTAGTTTTCTTGCTGAGTCTCTTGGATTTTCTATTTATAAGATCATGTCATCTGCAAATAGAGATAGTTTTACTTCTTTGTTACCAAATTGGATGCCTTTTATTCCACTTTTTGTCTTTTGGCCCTGACTAAGACTTCCAATACTGTGTTGAATAGAAGTGGTGATAGAGGGCATCATTGTCTGGTTCCCATTCTCAAGGGGAATGCTTTCAGTCTGTCACCATTGAAAATAATGTTGGCTGTTGGTTTTGCATATTTGAGTAATTTCCCTTCTATTCCTATTTTTCTGAGGATTTTTTTTTTATATATAAGGAATGGGTTTTGGATTTTATCAAATGCTTTTTCTGCATTGTTTGATAATGATCATGTGGTTCTTTTCCTTTCTTTTACTTATGTGATGGATTACATTTTTCTAATGTTGAACCATCCTTGCATACCTGATATGAATCCCACTTGGTCATGATGTATTTTTTTTTTTTTTTTTTTTGGTATGTTGTTGGAGTCTGTTGACTAGAATTTTGTTGAAAATGTTTGCGTTTATGTTCATGAAGGATTTTGGTCTATAGTTTTCCTTTTTAGTGGTGTTTTCGTATGTATGAAGGTTATGCTTGCTTCATAAGATGGATTTGGGAGAATTCAATAATCTGTCTCCTAGGTGGCAGCACTTAGGTACTCACCACCTGTCTCCTGGTGGGTGTGCACATTCCTCATAGAGAATGAGGGTGTGTGCACAGATCTCTGGTAGCTGTTCTTGAAGAGCAGTGGAGGGGAGAGTTGGGCTAGTATTGTTTGCCATCTGTTGTTGGTCAGTTGGTGCAGAAGCAATTGGGGGCCCTCACTCAGTGGGTTGGGCTGCAGGAGATGTGGGTATATTTGGTCATGTGGGCACAGGTATTATCTCCCACTCAGAAAAAAAAAATAATAATAAAACCACCAAAAACTAAAAACAAGAAAAGAAACACCGCATAAAGGAACAGGAACAATTGCAAAATAAATAAATAAATAAAAGAAAGGCAATAAATTAGAAGAAAAATAAAACCCACAACATCTGAGGAGGGGAAAATAAGAAAAGAGCAAGAGTAACAGAATAATGAAGAAATAATGAGAAAACTGCCAAAAGAAAAACAAGGGATAGAAAGAACCAAAAAGAAAGTACAAAGAAGGGAACCAGGCAAAAAAAACCAAAAAACTCACTGCTGTTGATTTGGATCTGACTCCTAGCGACCCATCCTTGGGTTTCCGAGGTAGTGTCACTACGGAAGTAAATTGCCCAACCTTCCTTCCGAGGAGTGGCTGGTGGGTTTGAACCGTCAGCCTTCTGGTTAGCTAGTCATATGCCTTAGGCACTACGCCACCAGAGCTCAAGAAGAAATAAACAAAAACAAAGAGCTAGGAAAGGGAACGAGAACAAAATTTAAAAGAAAGGAAGAAAAAAAAAACTTTAAAACAAACCTGGGGGGCAAGCAGGTCACCCAGACTCTGTCAGGGCACACAAACTGGGATAGAATTCCTGCCAGTTCCCTAGGTGGATAGAGGTGGGGCATGGCCACACCTCCACTCACCAAGATAGAGTGGGCTATAAGGCGATTACTGCACCATTCTAGTCATCAGCCTCCAGTGTGGTTGCCCGTTCTGTCCTCAGCAAGTGGAGCCTATTCTTAGATTGCTGCTGGGATTGGAATGCTGTATTCAAAATGGCCATGCCACTTGCAGATATTCAAAGTGGCTGCACCCTCTGAACAGCCAACAGTCCACAGCTCTGTTTGTCTCCTTATTCTCTGTTTTCCATTCTAGTCGACAACCACAGTTGCAGTTGCCCATGCGGTCTTTGGCAAGCAGAGCTGATTCTTAGGTTGCTGGCTAGATTTGAACGCCATTTGTAAATATTCAAATCAGCTGTGCCATCAGGACAGCTGGCAGTTTGCAGCTCTATTTGTCTCTTTATTCATTGTTTTTATTCAGGTTCTTTGACTAGTTGATATTTAGTCCATTTCTTTATCCTTCCCTTCAGAGCTCAGGGTTACAGGATTAACTTCTCTATCTGTTTCAATTGGTTTCTTGTTTCTTTGCTGCAGAGGGTCTGTGTAGCTTATCTGCCTATTGTGCCATCTTGTTAGACATCATGATCTTAATTTTTTAAAAAATGTTTCCTCAATTAAGTATAGTGACAATACAGACAAATCGTGATTTTTCAAAAATTATTTATGAAAAAAATCACATATGAAAAGATGCTTTTCATTTTTTCCCCAAATAGGCAACATTTCATACTCCTTTTACTCACTTGGGCATAAGTCCAGAAGGATGCTCATCTTACATTTTTCCGAAGATAATGGGCCCAGCCAAGGTAACTTTTGGAAACATTATAAATAAAATTTAATGTCTCATCTCTATTCCAATTTAACAAGTCACTTTTATTCCAAAAAAATCTTTTTCTCCCATTAATGAACAAAAGAGATGAAAAGCAAATTATTTTCTCTTCAATTCTTAAGAGTTTAATATATGCAGGAACCAGACTATAGGAAGTGTTTGTATGATGGAAAATGAGAAATTCTTCTGCAGCTCCAAGAATTGGGACAGTACTTGTCCAGCTAATTGCCACAGTGCTAGCTGTATTACAGGCAGTACAGGGCCTTGTCCTTGATAGCTATACATCATTAGTCAGTTGAAGGACCAGGACTATGCCAGTTTCCCTGAATCTTCTGAGCTCAGGGCCCCATTTAATTATTCTATGGATAAGCAGCAGATGGATGAGGAAGGTGACATGACAACATCTTGACTTTTAGAGTCATCTAAAGTAGCAGCAGTTGTTGAGGCTTCATGGAGTTTACCACTTCTGAATGTACTCAAAACAGCCTTATCATCAACCTGTTTTGCCATTGTATTAAGTATCCAAGGTGGTTAAGTGGCTGTTCAGATCTGTCACTATGTTTCTGGAAACCTAGTTGCCACACTCTGTGTACATGATGACAGGGGATTAATGCAAGTTTGGAGAGACAGCCAGCAGACCAGGCAAGGCTTAGTCACATTCTTCAAGATCTGAAAGGACTAGAGGAGAGGGTTGAGCCTGTTTTCACTAAGGTTTTGCTATAAATATTTCTATTTTAAATCTTATTATATTGTTACATACCTGAAGTGTTACACAGATTTTAACTTGGAAAAGTTGGGAAAAATCAACTCTAGGACTTAGACCATTTGTCTATGACATAGTCTTTACTTTTCTGGAAGAGAAGTTGCAAATATAAAAGATGTCCATTCAGGGATTTTCTGTTTTGTTAGAAACTGTATGTCTCCTTCCTTTCATTTAGTCAAATGGAATATGAGTACCTCTGCTGGTGAAAAAAAAATTGTCAAGAGGTAGACCACTGGGTAGAATTTTTACTGAATGGAGTTGTGAAAGTTACAGTTTTCTAAAGGTTAATGGCATTCCCTATGATCATGATTTTTATTTCTTTCTTTTTGTCTTTTTAATCATTGGAGGCCTATTATGTAAAACAAAAACATCACAGCTGCTGTGGGTTAGTTAATGAACATCTGTTTCAGGTCCTTTCTGCCCAGGCTGCTTCCTCCTGCTGCTCCACATACCCACACACACAGAAGCAACAACCCTATAGCCCTTCTAGAATGCTCAGAATAGTCTCAGCACACAGCACGCAAACTATTGCCATTAAGTTCATCAGTAACTCCTTCCAGAGAAATTTAGACAACCTCAAGAGTCTCCCTATGCCTTGTTGTTGTTGTTGTTATGTGCCATCGAGTCAGCCTCCCTATGCCTACTAAAAGTTAATTCTGAAGTTAACTGAAGCCTTTGTTTTATGAAGTCAGTGTCTTAATCTTGCTTTTCATTTCAGGCAGCTGAGATGCTCATTTTTGGAAAGAAGTTAACTGCCAGAGAAGCATGTGCTCAAGGACTTGTTACTGAAGTTTTTCCTGATAGCACTTTTCAGAAAGAAGTTTGGACCAGGCTGAAAGCATATTCAAAACTTCCCCAAAATGTTATTATTCAACTTTTGCTTATAGAAACCATGGGAATAACTTCCTAAAGGAAAAATGTATTTTTATTAAGAGATTTAGGAATAAAAAGACAAGACATTTCTTTGATTGGCTTTAAGCACATCTAAGTTTGAGGTTAAAAATAATAATGTTGGAAGCAATTATTTTAATAGGTGTCTCATACATAAGCATTTCATTTCTATAAAGTGAAGGTAGACAGGCAGTTTTTTATAGAGGTAACTTTGAGGAAGATGGTAGACAGTATTTGCAGAGCACAGTTATCTTGGTATTTGGGTGAAAGCCAGATTGAATAACTGTATATTGTTGTTATGTGCCGTCGAGTTGGACCTGACTCATAGCGACGCCTCCTTGAGTTTCCAAGGCAGTATCACTATGGAAGTAGATTGCCCCATCTTCCTTCCAAGGAGTGGCTGGTGGGTTAGCAGTCAAGTGCCTTAGCCACTATGCTACCAGAGCTCCTTAACTGTATATTGTGTTGTTGTTATGCACCGTCGAGTCAGACCTGACTCATAGTGACCCTTCCTTGGGTTTCCAAGACAGTATCACTATGGAAGTAGATTGCCCAACCTTCCTTTCGAGGAGTGGCTGGTGGATTTGAGCCGCCAGCCTTCTGGTTAGCAGTCTAGTGCCTTAGGCACTATGCTACCAGAGCTCCTTAACTGTGTATTAGGAGATCCTTATAGTATAAGACTTTGTTACATGGGGTAGCTAGTACCTGATTGCTTTTATATTCTTGCTATTTACAATGTGGTCTTAGAACCAGAACCTTTAGTACCAATCTGGGATCTTCTTAGAAATGTGTGTAATCTGAGGCCTGCTCTTCAATGAATCAGAATCATTAACAAGATATTTAGTTGGTGGGTCTGCGCATTAAAAGTTTGAGAAGCACTCTTTTACAGAGTTTCCCTGGATGGTGCAAATGGTTAACATGTTAGTTGCTAGCCCAAAGGTTGAATATTTGAGTCTACCCAGAAGCACACCGGGAGAAAATCCTTGTGATCTGCTTCTGAAAAAGCAACCATTGAAAACCCTGTGGAGCACAGTTCTACTTTGACACACATGGAGTTGCCATGAGTCACACTGACACCACAGCAACTAGTTTTACTGTCCTTGTATAAGGGAGCTCTGGTAGCATAGTGCCTAAGGCATTTGACTGCAAACCTGAAGGCTGGCAGTTCAAACCCACCAGCCACTCCTCGGAAGACTGAGCAATCTACTTCCATAGAGATACCACCTCGGAAACCCAAGAAGGGGTCGCTATGGGCCGGATTCGACTTGATGGCAGTGAGTTTGCTTTTTTGTTTTGGTACACATATAAAACCAAAGAAAAGCAAACTGCCATCAAATCAGTTCCAACTCATAGCAACCCCTTCTTGGGTTTCCAAGGCAGTATCTCTACCGAAGTAGATTGCCCAGTCTTCTTTCCGAGGAATGGCTGGTGGGTTTGAACCGCCAGCCTTCTGGTTAGCAGTCAGATGCCTTAGGCACTACATACAAAGATTAGTTTAATGAACAATGGAGAAGCTAGAATCAGGATTTTAAAATAATCACCTTATTAGAATAACTTCTGACCTTATTGTTGGTTTATTTTTTTTCAGGCTGTGAGAATTTCAAAGCAGCTTATCAGAAATACAGAGAAAGAAAAGCTACATGCTGTTAATGCTGAAGAATGTCTTGTCCTTCAGAGCAGATGGCAGTCAGATGAATGTGTAAATGCAGTCAGCAACTTCTTATCTAGAAAACCAAAACTGTGATGACTGTTAGAACCAAGTCAAGTACATCAAAGGAAGGGGTGTGTATTACTTCTGATTTCTAATAAACTAATTACCTTCTATTGTGCTTTGTTTTAGTACTGATATCACTCTAAACAATTACATTTAACTAGAGCTCTGATGAGGAAAATAATTACGTAGACTAAGCTTTAAAAATTTATATGTGATTCTTACATCTTTCGACATGAATCGCTGTTGCCAGGAACACCGAAACTGTGTGCCTGGGATCCTGCTTTGAAAAGCATTAACAGCATTGCATGCAGAGGTTGTATCTTTAAACACCACAGTAGCACTCTGTCGTCCACAGTGGGCAAATGACTGGATGGGGCCAAACACAGACAGCTTCTGGATGACTGACTGGAGATTCTCTGTGGGCTGCAGGTTCTTCTTCGACCATCTAGCAAAGGAGTAAATGAGGATGTATTAATAGAAAATAAGAATCATAGTTTGGCTTTTCATAATTTAACAAGAAGACATGAAGAGAAAATTGGATTATTTCATTGGAAAGCTATAATTACTATATCAATAATTATTTTTTAATTTAAAGTCTTCATTCAATGTGGTGGATTGATACAGTGGCTGCGATGATGGGCTCAAGTATAGTATGGATTGTGGGGCTGGCGCGGGATCGGGCAGTGTTTCGTTCTGCTGTGCATGGGGTTGCTATGAGTTGGAACTCGACGGCACTTAACAACAACAACAACATTCAATGTGGTATCTTAAAAATGGTATACCTATATTGTTCCACGGGAGAAAGATATGGCTGCTTCCTTAAAGTTTACAGCTTTGGAAACCGTATGGGGCAGTTCTCATTCCTATAGAATTGCTATGAATTGGAGTTGACTCAAGGGAAGTGGGTTTGGTTTTATTTTGGGTAAGAAAACTCCTTGAAAATGTTCTATTTTGATAAATTCCATATCTACCAATTGGCTAATCAATTTTTTAATTCCATATGTGTCAAATCAGTCTGTATATTAATTGCATTGAGGATGTAATAAAAAGGCTATAAAATTCATATAGAACATCTTTCTTTCCTAAATACCCTCTTTTCAACCTTTCTTTCAAGCATCATATGCAGGTATTTAACCTACTGAACCTCTAATAGTTCTTAATAGTCAATTTATTTTTCATTCCAGTAATCCTAATTCAGAATGTTCAGTCTTACAGAAAAATATATGGATAGTAATAACCATTAATATTTATTGGCGACTTACTGCTTTATGTCATAATTGCATTTTATGCTCATAAGAATACCTCCCCGCCCCCGAAAAAAAAAAAAAAAATAAGGTTGGTACAGTTTTTACTTTGTTGTTGTTGTTATGTGCCATGGAGTCGGATCCGACTCATAGCGACCCCTCCTTGGGTTTCCGAGGCAGTATCACTATGGAAGTAGATTGCCCCATCTTCCTTCCGAGGCGTGGCCATTTTACAGATAGGGATCCTGTGATATAGAGATTTAAATATCTTTTCCAGAGTTAAACATGTCAGGATAGGGATGAAAACCCAGGCAAAAAGTTCCCATTCTGCCATGAAAGCATATGCCAACTATTACCTATCCCTCCCATTAATTATAACTAAAATTTCTGCACAATTATGAAAAACAACTACTTGAGAATGCTGAAATTTTAAAAAGCTGGAGAACTGCAGAAAATTGTCAAAATATAGAGAAGTTAACTTCACACGACAAGTTTCCCAGATTGTTTTCTCTTCCCTGTGCTTCTGATTTTGCCTCAAAAACAGACCCCAGTTGCAGTGGTGGCCATAGTGTGGCTGGCTAAATAAAGCTCTTCAGGAAAGAAAAATCATTGAGGCTAGAAAAGGATCCCCTGAGGACTAAAGAGTGAGGGACTCGTGATTGTACACTTTCTGCATGTTACACAAAGTGGTACCGGATTACTGTAAGGTGTTTTGGTAATTAAGGTGGTGTGTCAAATTGACTGGGCCATGACAATGAGTAGCTTATCAGCTGCATGCATTTACTCTCCATGATGAGACTGGATGTGGCATAATCAACTCCATGGTGGAGTCTGCTTTGAGCAGCTAATTCGTTGCCTTTAGGGTGCAGCCTGATTCCAATATATATGGAGAAGCTTTGAAAAGATTCTCTAGCTTTTGGCACATTTGGATTCTACATTTGTCCAGATCTTCATTTCTAGTTACTGGACTTGAATCTGTGGCCTGCCATGTTACTCGCCAGTCTTGGGATTGTTCTTGGACTTGAACCTGCTGTGCTGTGTGATAATCTTGGGATTGTGCCATTTTACCTGCAGACCTTAGGTTCATCAGCATCAGCACCCAGCAGCTGCCTGAGTTAACAGATGCCTCCAGCTCCAGTGGGCCTGGAACAGAGAGCTGAAGCCCATGTTTGAGGGGTCTCCATTTACCCCATCCATAGAGCTAGAACTCTGAATTTGGACTTACAGCCTCCTAAACTGTAAGAGAATAATTCCTATTTCTTAAAGCCACCCACTTGTATAACAGCACTAGAGAACCAAGACAGACGTTATGCATGTATATTGTCATTTCTAGAGCACTCACTAAAAAAAAGTAATACAAAAAGACTTAGCCAAAAATCTAATAGATGAGTTAATGTGAAAGAAAAATTTGGAAAAAAATAAAAGAGAGTAAATACAGAGTAGGAAAAAAAATGAGATAAATAGAAAACAATACATCTAAACCTAATTTTATTGATAATTAACATTAAATGTTAATGGCCTATCATGCTAAATAAAATCAGTTGATTGAACAGATAATAAAGCAAACCTCCAACTCTGGTGGTATAGTGGATAAGGCATTTGGCTGCTAACCAGAAGGTCAGCAGTTCAAACCCACCAGATGGGGCAATCCACTTCTGTAAAGATTTACAGCTTCAGAAACCCAGTGGAGGTTGCTATGAGTCAGAACTGACTCAATGGCAGTGAGGTTTTTTTTGGTTTTTACATGAACCACACTTTAAAGACACAGAAGTTGAAAGTAAATGGACAGAAAAAGACACAGCATACAAACAAAGCAAAAGAAGACCCCAGTGTAGATTTTGATATTGGAGAAAAGAGTCATCAAGACAGAGCATTAACATAAAGAGGTACATGAAAGGGCCAATTCATTAGGAGACAAGTATGTATTCACCTAATAACAGAAGCTCAAAATATATGAAGCAAAATTGACAGAATTAAAGAAGAAATGCCACAATATTTTAACACTGAACAGTTGATTAAAAAAAAAAAAAGACCAGTCAAAAAACGAATAGAAAAGATCTAAATGCTGGTTACCACTTTTATCAAATTGACATTTATAGAACACTACAGCAATTTCAAAATACACATTCTTTTCAAAGGCACATGGTACATTCACCAAGATCATATGTTTAGCCATAAAACAAGTATCAATGTAAAAGGATCAAAATTATATAAAATTCCAAATATCTAGAAATTAACCAGCACACTTCCAAATTTATGAGTCAAATATGAAGTCACAACAGAAATTACTCTTAAATTGAGTGCCAACAAATATATGATGTGTCAAAAGTTATTGAACGTGGCTAAGCACTGCTTAGAGGGAAACATAACTAAATGCTTACATTAGAAGAAAGATTTAAAATCAATCACCTAAATTCCTACTTTCAAAAGTAGCAAAAATGAAAAAGGAAAAGGAAAGTAAAAGTAGCAATCAGTGAAATAGACAACAGGGAAAATTAATAAAGTCAGAAGCTAATGCTTTCAATGTCAATAAAATTGACAAAACTCTAGATGAAAAAATAATTGTCTAATGAAAGGGGAGGTTTATCACAACAGATCTTATGAACATGAAAAAATTGAGAACACTGCAACATTATGCCAAGAAATTTGACAATTTAGAGAAAACAACATTAAAAAAAAAGTTGGCTCCTGAAAACAAAAAAGGAAATCTAATAGCCATATATCTATAAAAGAAGTTGAATTTGCTATCAAAAACTTCCCCAAAAAGAAAATTCCAGACTCAGATTCATTGGCAAATTCTGTCAAACATCTAAAGAAGAAATAGCACTATCTTATGCAGACTTTTAAGGAAATAAAGGAGGAAAGAACACTTCTAAACTCACGAAGTCAGCATATCCCTTATAACAAAACTTGAAAAGCATTGCAAAAACAGAAAAATTACCACTCCATCATGAATGTAGATGCAAAAAAAAAAAAATCCTTAATGAAAATAATAGCAAATCAAAATATATCATGAACAAGTGGGATTTTTCTCAGGAATGCAAAGTTCATTAAATATTATATAACAATGCAATTCATCATGTTAACCAAATAAAAGATAAATATGATCAACTCAATAGATTCAGAGAAAGCATTTTATAAAATTCAGCTATCCATGATAAAAATAAATAAAAACCTACAGCCAACATCACGCTGAATTGTTTTCCCCTGAGATTGAAAACAAGTCAAGAATGCCTACCTTTTACCACTTTTATTCAACATTGCACTGGAAATACTAGTCATGGCAATAAACCAAGAGACAGAAATAAAAGGAATAGACTGGAAAGAAAGAAGAAAAATGTTCCTATTTATAAATGATATGATTACTTACATAGAGAACTTACAGGAAATGTAAAAAAAACTCTTCAAACTAATGTGGAAATTATGAAACAGTATCATTAAAATTTTGCTGAAAATAATTTTAAAATAGTTTCAGCAGAATATAAACAGAATTGCCAGAAATTCAAGCTGGATTCAGAAGGTGATGTGGAACAAGAGTTATCATTGCTAATGTCAGATGAATCTTGGCCAAAGCAAACAATACTTTGACTATGCAAAGGCATTTGTGTGGATCATAACAAATAATGGATAATATAGTGAAGAATGGGAATTCCAGAACACCTAATTGTGCTCATGAGGAACTGTACATAGATGAAGAGGCAATCATTCAAACAGAACAAAGGGATACTGCATTGTTTAAAATCAGGAAATGTTGTGTCTCATGGCTGTAGCCTTTGACTATGTTTATTCAATCTGTATACTGAGCAAATAACCTGAGAAACTTGACTATATGAAGAAGAACATGGCATCAGGATTGGAGGAAGATTCATTAACCTGTGATATGCAGATGACAAAACTTTGCTTGCTGAAAATTAAGATGACTTGAAGCACTTATGATGAAGATCAAAGACTGCAGCCTTCACTGTGGATTACACTTCAACATAAACAAAACCTTAACAACTGGACCAATAAACAGCATGATAAATGGAGGAAAGATTGAAGTTGTCAAGGATTTCATTTTACTTGGGTCCACAATCAACACCCATGGAAGCAGCAGTCAAATCAGACATCATATCGCACTGGGCAGATGTGCTGCAAAAGACCTCCTTACAGTGTTAAAGAGCGAAGATGGCACTGAAAACTAAGGTGTGCCTGACCCAAA